TGTGAATTATTCCAGTTCTCAAAATAAATACGAAATCCCCACGATGGCTTTGTACAGATTTCGTTTTTTTGCCTCGAGGGATGAGTTTATTGTTCAGTGCCATTCACCTTGTGCCTAAACTTACCCCCAAAGAGAGAAAGAAATAGGGAACAATACTCATCCACTACTAATTCTGTTTAACGTTACTCAGGCAAGCCCGCTGGAGCGCGACCTGTCTGCGCGGTTCATTGGGTCTCCGCCGCCCTCAGGCTTGCGGAGAGACGATAATGGAAATACCTTTGAGGTACGCCGAAGTAGCATGTCTGCCAGTGAGAGTGGCGAGGAAGATCGTGTAGTGTACCAGCCTGCCAACCCTGCCCTGGAGCTCTCTCAACCACGCATCACTCTTCACACAGCACCCAGAAAGGGTTCCCCACCGCCACCCCACGCCATCGTCAGTGCTGAGAGTGCTGCTAACCTAGCTACCTCCTCCTCCTCCCTATCCCTTCGGTCTATGACTTCAGCAGCACCTGACAACATCCACCAGGCGCTCACTCCACCTCCTAAACTGGTCAGCTACCGGGCTGAAGGTGGAGCAGAGGCGGTACAGGTGAGTCTAAACAGGTGTTCCAGAGTAGTATAAATATATGTTCCAGAGTAGTATAAGCAGGTGTTTAAGAGTAGTCTAAACAGGTATTCCAGAGTAGTATAAACAGTTGTTCCAGAGTAGTCTAAACAGGTATTCCAGAGTAGTATAACCAAGTGTTCCAGAGTAATATAAAACTCTCAAACTATAAAGGATTCTTAGACCTGAGAACTGGAGCTACCATGAACTTTCTTGAATCAAACCTGATTAAATTCCATTCCACAAGCATTGTATGACCCTTGTAGGCTTAGCTCATAATAATAATAATAATAATAATAATAATAATAATAATAATAATAATAATAATAATAATAATAAAATAATAATAATACCAATAATAATAATAATAATAATAATAATAATAATAATAATAATAATAATAATAATAATAATAATAATAAAATGAAATGTAGGTTTGTCATGAAAAAGGACAAGTGTTTCCTGACGCGGGTCTTAGTCATATGATGATCCGCAGCTGAAGTTTTTGATCGTCTGACCGAAGCCTTCCGCTGGCTTACCGGTCCACCCCTTTAAAAGCTATTTTTATGGTTATAACTATTTATATGTGATAAGATGAAAGTTGTCCACCAAATTTATATATTATATATATATATATATATATATATATATATATATATATATATGCAAGGAATTCGCGAGAGCATGCGAAATATACACAAAACACTGATCTCTGGCTGAAGGAGACTCGAACCTACGAACCTTAGGACAAGGTACGCAGTGCTTTACCAATCTACCCACACTGGACCTATCCAGTGTGGGTAGATTGGTAAAGCACTGCGTACCTTGTCCTAAGGTTCGTAGGTTCGAGTCTCCTTCAGCCAGAGATCAGTGTTTATATATATATATATATATATATATATATAATATATATATATATATATATATATATATATATATATATATATATATATATATATAGCAATGGGAAAGCCTCTTTCACCTGTTCTTAGTAACCAATATATGGATTTTTTAAAACAAGATTGCTTAACACAATCCTCCCTAATAGAGCTAAATGGTTCAGATATGTTGATGATATTTTGTGTCTTATGCCCAAGAATGTAGATATACACCATTTTCTTGGAAAATTAAATAGCTTAGCCCATTCTATAAACTTTACTATTGAGTTTGAGGAAAATAACTCATTGTCTTTTTTAGAAGTTTTAATTATTAAGGATAATAATGAATTCAAATTTAAAATTTACAGAAAACCTACAAATAACTGTTCCTATGTCCACTATTATTCTTCGCATCAAGATAGAGTCAAACTGTCTGTTTTCTCATCAATGTTTTTGAGAGCTTTACGAATTTGTAGTCCTGAGTTCATAGATGAGGAAATATCCAAAATTTATGAAATAGGTAATAATTTAAAATACCCAAGAAATGTAATTGATAAATCTTTTAAAGTTGCTAGAAATACTTTTTACAATCCACAAATGGACAACCAACCTTATTCAACTAAAAATATGTTGGTTCTCCCTTACCATGAAAACTTGGTTGATATGCCTTCTCTTCTTAAGACTTTTAATATCAAAGTTGTATTTAAAAATCTTGATACAGTAAAAAAACTTTTGATAAAGAATTCCCCCCAAAATGCTGACGGATGTGTCTATAAGATTCCTTGTAAAATTTGCGATAAAGTTTATTACGGTCAAACTGGTAAAAGTCTCGAACTAAGATTAAAACAACATAAATATAGCATTAGAACTGGACAAGATTCCAATGCTCTATTTATTCATGTGAGAGATTTTAACCATCCAATTGATTTTCATAAAGTTGAGAAAGTAGTATCAAGCAAGTCCATGGTCGACAGGAATATAATTGAATCTTGTTTCATAAAAAGCAGTTTTGACAATAATATGAATATTTCCTTTGGTTTGTATAAATTAGATCCATTTATAATAAACAGAATTTGGGAAGAGTTTAATAATACATTGGATAAATAAAAAATATTATTTCTTGGGTAGAATATTTTGTTAGTGGGATGTCGTGAAGGACCTGTCTAGTTGGGCCAGCGGGCCTGCTGCAGTGTTCCTCTTTTCTTATGAGTCTGGTGTCGTCGCGCGTCAGGTGTTGCTTTGCTGTGGGATGTGATGGTGAGGTGTGGTCTAGACCTTTTATATGCCTTCCTTTGACGTATTACTTTTATAGTTCCTCGATAATGTGAGAAGTCACGAAAGCGCTTGGAATTTCACTATTCTTTCACAGTGGTTGTTTTGCATATATATATATATATATATATATATATATATATATATATATATATATATATATATATATATATATATATATAATATATATATATATATATATATATACATATATATATATATATATATATATATATATATATATATATATATATATATATATATTATATATATATATATACATATATATATATATCAAACCATACCCCCGGCCGGGATTGAACCCGCGGTCATAGAGTCTCAAAACTCCAGCCCGTCGCGTTAGCGACTAGTTATATTATATATATATATATAATATATATATATATATATATATATTATATATATATATTATATATATATATTATATATAATATATGTATATTATGTCGTGCCGAATAGGCAGAACTTGCGATCTTGGCTTAAATAGCAACGCTCATCTTGCCATATAGGACAAGTGAAAATTTGTGTATGCAATAATTTCGCCAAAATCATTCTTAACCTAACGAAAAAATTATATTTCACTGTGTTTGTTTAGTATTAAATTATTGTAAACAAATCTAAAATATATTTAGTTGGGTTAGGCTAAAATAAATTGTTCTTGTTATAATAAGGTTAGGTAAGTTTTCTAAGTTCCTTTTGGTGCAAAATTATAAATTTTTACATTAACATTAATGAAAAAAATATGTCTTTAAAGGTATAAGAGAAAATTTTAGAAAGGACTTAATTTTAAATGAGTTCTTGCTAAATGACCAGTTTTACATATTCGGCACGAATATATATATATATATATATATATATAATATATATATATATATATATATATATATATATATATATATATATATATATATATATATATATACATATATATATATAATATATATATATATATATATATATATATATATATATATATATATATAGACGTATATATGACTCTCTAGAACGAGAACTCGATGTCACATCTTATAGATATATTCTGTCATCATTATCTGTTATAACAGATAATTTTGTAATAATGAACGAGAAGGGATGTGCTTACATCTTTTATGTGTGTATACTATTTTCTCCTATTTGTGGTTGCAGGGGTCGAGTCTATCTGGCCGCTCTCACCGTGTACAACCCTCCTCCCGTCCATGGCTTTATCAATCGTCTAAACGTGTTGGTTCCTGCCTCCATAACTGTGTTGTGTTGTGTGTGTGTGTGTGTGTGTGTGTGTGTGTGTGTGTGTGTGTGTGTGTGTGTACATTCATGGATAACTATTTGATTTTGCGCACTTCGTCTCTGCAGGAGTGGGTCCCTGACGAAGATGGTATTGGACTGGCGACTCCGCCTCGCAAGAGCTCCTCCCCGTCCATCCGCGACCTTCCATCCCCGGTCTTGGGCCGTCATGGCCTCAACCGTCCTCCTCCACTGGTCCAGACCGCCCGGAGGACCAGATCAACTATCAAACTCTCCCCTATTAACAAGTAGAAGTCCCCCTATCCTTTCCCTGCCGATGTGGGCAAACTATTCTGTAAGGTGGGCTGGAATTCTTTAGGATCAGTAGCGAGCTGTTGAAAAGTGTCTTAATTGTTATTAACAAAAGTCTAGATCAAAGTTCGATCATCCTTATGTTGTTTGGAAGGCTCTATACCAGAGCTCTATCGTCCGCCTTTTTCCTGGAAGGCTTTGAGAAGAGCTTAATAGCCCTTACGTTGCCTGGAAGGCTCCACACCAGAGCTATAGTGTCCTTATGTTGCCTGGAAAGCTCTAGATTAGAATTTTCTTGTTCTTATGATGCCTGGAAAGCTCTAGACCAGAGTTCTTCCTTTAATATATTGCCTGGAATGCTCTAGAGTCTAAACGAAGGCATTTTTCCCATCGTGCTGCCTGCTAGGTTTTAAACCAGAGCTTTCCTGTCTACGTGTGTATATGTTACCTGTAACGTTCTATATTAGAGCTTTTCTCTATATAAATTACCTGGAAGGCTCTGTTTTGGGCACTCTGCCCTCATATGTGCTTCTGGGTACCTCATTATCGAATACTAACACCTAGACATACTGATCTTCAGTGCATTTGCTGTGAACACGTGTTTTAAATTATGATGTTATAATGTTATTTTTCTGTATATCCTCCCCTGTGGTATAAACCTTGGTAATAAATACCGACAATTTGATTTAGAAAGACACGTAAACAAACACTATGACATATTTATTAGAAAACGTTTCGGTCCTAGGACCTTGATCACTTCTAACATACAGAGGTAGAAAGACATTATATATAGGCGGAGAGGGAGATGTGAGTGACTAAAAGAGGAGTCCTCATTGGCTTCTTCTTGTGAGCTCTTCGCATTTCCAGCCCTTGTTTTCTTGAAGAAGAATGTATTTACATAACACAAGCCTTTACACGTCTTCAGTTCCCATCTTTCTTCATCCGAGATTGCAGACCCAAGGCACAAGCTATCCTCAACAAACCGCCCATGGAACAGCCCCCTAAGCAGTTCATAGTGCTCCCAAGTGGTGATGTTGCCACGAATAATCGCCGGGCACTTGCTATGAGTAACATCAACGTTTCCACCATTAACACATCATCTATCAGAGACCTCACTACGAAACGCAGCCCCACACCTCTAACTTCTACAGCAGGCGTCTACACCATTCCCTGTGGATTCTGTCCCAAGAAATATGTAGGCGACACTGGCAGAGATCTTGTGGTCCGCCTGAACGAGCATCGAAATGCCTGTAACAGAATCGATTTAAGGTACGCCTGTGTCCTCCATAGAGACTCCACGGGGCATTTGATGAACTGGAATGAGGCACAACTCGTTCTCACCGAACCAGACCTCAGACGCCGACGGTGCCTGGAAGCCTCACTAATCCCCGTCACCGACACAATAGAACGCAACACTGGAAACCACAAATTTTCAAAAGCATTAGCATACATGATACTTAAGCACCACCAACCCAGACAACACAGGAGTCACATGATCTCATCGTCTACCCGTCCTCATCCCAACATGACATTCTTCAGGTCACCATGCGTCACTCACACCTCACTCTCTGCCTATGTATAATGTCTTTCTACCTCTGTATGTTAGAGGTGATCAAGGTCCCAGGACCGAAATGTTTTCTAATAAATATGTCATAGTGTTTGCTTACGTGTCTTTCTAAACCATCCTCCCCTGTCGACGGGTGGAGTCACTCTCTGATGGTATATACGTAGCTAGCATATACTCATAGGCTTATATGGTTACAGTTTTGTACTCCATAAATTGATTCTTTCATCGTTAATATGTAAATGGTATATAAGAATTTCTTTAGGCTTCTTTTTTTCTGCATAATCTTTAGAGAATGGAGACTACCCTCCCATTGACATAAATATCGATGCTATCCTTATTTATATATTATATATATAATATATATTATATATTATTATATATATATATATTATATATATATATATATATATATATATATATATATATATATATATATATATATATATATATATATATATATATATATATACAGTACTCGACCATCAAAGTGCTTTTGTAGAATTAATAATGAAAGCTTCCACAAACTTTTCATAACAGAGAGCTCTTTAGATAGAATTAAATACATTTTCAGTGCCCAGAGAGGGTAATAATTTAGCCTCCAGTAACTTATTAATCAAATACGAGAAAGTGACAGATTTGCTTCGGGTGTCGGTCTGTTCGTGGTCTTAGGAAACAGTTTTTTTGACTAGGAATGTAGAAATTCTTAATGCTGGCTTTTCATATATGCTATTTAATTCAGCTTTCCAAATGCATTATCCTTATAGACACTCTAGTGTCGCGAGAAAATGTGAAAAAGTTTGTCTTCAGAAATATATTACTAACTTAGGGGTCATTTGTTTCACATAACATAAATCTATTTGATTAATTAATGTTGATGGTAAAATAAAGTGTTAGACTTTGGTTATTAGAGAACCCGACTGCACCCGCTCATGAGGTATGTTTGACTTGTTTGACGCAAATTCTTGAATCGATGAGTTAAGTTGACGTTTTGCTGGTCAAAACGCTGTGTGAATCTGCAGCTGCATTGTGTTCCCCATCTGAGCCAGTCGTTCTGTTTTGAAGATCTTCCCAGCGTGTGCTCCTCTCCAACTGTTTCTTCCACCTCTCATTGACAAGGTCCCCTACTTTTTTATCTTGTTCTTCCTTTTCTTCAGATTGTTTCATCTACTAATGTTTTACCAAAATTATTTTCAATTATTCAATGTTCTCGTCATCTCCTAAAACATCCTAGTCATCTACCTCTTACTCAAAGCCTCGCCAGTAAGCCCCATCATTCATTGATCTACCGTCACTATAATTATATATATTCATTCCTCTGGAACACCAGGAGGGCTACGTCCTATGAACTGTTCCAAATATTTCCAACCATCTCAGTCCGCATGCTTTTCGTCGCTTTACAAGAACAGTCTTACATCGCGTAGTTTCCTGAGAGTTTCGTTTCTGTAATAGCTATAATATCAGGGCTCTCCTCTCCTACTTTTCATCCATGGCTTCATATTTGTTGGTAGTTTCAACCTCTTTTGAGCACCAGTTTCTGATTCTCTTATCTCTGGGCAAGGTGTTTTCTTTATTCCCATTTCCCAGCTGTTCACAAGCAGGCTTGTGTAGTGTTTGGAGTAAAGTGTCATACGTACTGACTGACGAATAGTGGAAAAAACAACTTATACCAAAAAAAAAAAATGAACCACAGGCGAAATAGATTTGTGCATTTCGGCTTAAGATCTGCTGAGTAAATTGACAGTATTCAAAATTTTGATAAGTCATTTTCAGCAGTCCAATCCGTTGTAACTCAAATAACTCAAAAAAACTGTTTCTTAATTATTCAGGGAATTGTAAAATCCAAAATAACCTTATTACAACCTGAGAGATCCTGTTAAGTCTTAGAAGCCATAAATTATCTCGAATACTTGTTCAAAAGCCTCTAGTGGGATTCTCTCCATCAGATGGAATTAATAATTTCTCCAGATGTGGTTACAGTCACATGGTCAGCCATTCAGAGAAACTTTTGGTCATCTGACCGTGGCCTTCTGCTGCCTTAAACGTTCACGCTTTAAAAATTGAAATGCTGAAGAATCTTGGCAAGATGCCGTTGACTTATTTCGATAGGTACCTTTCGTTGCCGTCCATAAGTAGAAGTAGCAAGGTGTTGCGAGTCCTTGAAGAGGTCAGCAAGCACCAAGGTCTTGGTCCTTAACAAGGCACCATACCTTGACTGGAACAATACTACCAATAACCCAAATCGGAATGAAACCTCGTCATAAGTTTTATTTCCCCAGGTGCGGGTTATTTGTGTAAGGTCAACAAGCTCCATGATGCCGGCCATCAGGAAACAAAAATCTAGAAGAAAAATTCTCCCTAACTTAGATGCACATGACCACCTTTATCGTGACTAGATACTGGTACCGGAGGACTGGTTTTCCTAAGCCTTATAGGAAACAATTAGGCTGAGTAATTTTCAAATATGAGTTTCGTCTTTAATTCAACAATATCTAAAACTAAACTTCTATTGACAACATAAATGTTGAGCTCCACTGCATAAAATATTGTCCGCAAACTAACGTAGTTTTACAGTATAAGTGAAATGAACCTTTTATTTGTACCTCGATTGTGAAAAATGTCAGATTATTATTATAATCAAAAAAGAAGCGCTAAGCCACAAGGACTATACAGGAAAAATGTCAGAGAAATTAGACAATCAACATTATAGTTGTTAAATGGACAATGATCACTATAATATACTATCATGTTATATATTCAACCGGCCGCCAAGTGTTAATCTTAAGGCTGTTGTTGAATGTATCCTCAAATATTCAGTTTTAATGTATTTTCCCGTTGTTAAATGTTGTGCGTTTGTATATGTATGTATGTATGTATATTATATAAATTATATATATATATTTATATATATATATATATATATATATATATATATATATATATATATATATATATATATATATTATATATATATATATATATATATTGTAACCTGGTACAATACAAAATGTCTCTGTAACCTGGTACAACACAACATGCAGTTATAACCTGGTACAACACAACATGCAGTCATAACCTGGTGCAATACAACATGCAGCTATAACCTAGTACAACACAACATGCAGCTATAACCTGGTACAACACAACATGCAGCTATAACCTCGTACAACACAACATGCAGTTATAACCTGGTGCAATACAACATGCAGCTATAACCTGGTACAACACAACATGCAGCTATAACCTGGTACAACACAACATGCAGTTATAACCTGGTACAACACAACATGCAGTTATAACCTGGTACAACACAACATGCAGTTATAACCTGGTACGACACAACATGCAGCTATAACCTGGTACAACACAACATGCAGCTATAACCTGGTACAACACAACATGCAGCTATAACCTGATACAACACAACATGCAGTTATAACCTGGTACAACACAACATGCAGTTATAACCTGGTACAACACAACATGCAGTTATAACCTGGTACGACACAACATGCAGCTATAACCTGATACAACACAACATGCAGTTATAACCTGGTACAACACAACATGCAGTTATAACCTGGTACAACACAACATGCAGTTATAACCTGGTACAACACAACATGCAGTTATAACCTGGTACAACACAACATGCAGTTATAACCTGGTACGACACAACATGCAGCTATAACCTGGTACAACACAACATGCAGCTATAACCTGGTACAACACAACATGCAGTTATAACCTGATACAACACAACATGCAGCTATAACCTGGTACAATACAACATGCAGCTATAACCTGGTACAACACAACATGCAGCTATAACCTGGTACAATACAACATGCAGTTATAACCTGGTACAATACAACATGCAGTTATAACCTGGTACAACACAGCATGCAGCTATAACCTGATACAACACAACATGCAGCTATAACCTGGTACAACACAACATGCAGTTATAACCTGGTACAACACAACATGCAGCTATAACCTGATACAACACAACATGCAGCTATAACCTGGTACAACACAACATGCAGTTATAACCTGGTACAACACAACATGCAGCTATACCTGATACAACACAACATGCAGCTATAACCTGGTACATACAACATG